GCGAGGAGTTCGCCCGGGTTTGCGGGGGGGGGGGGGGAGAGCAGAGCGCTCTGTCCTAGGCTTGAGTTGCCGCTGAAAAGCAGCTCTCTCTGGGGTGGGCCGCGGCTCCGCCAGGACGGGGAGGCGACCGTGGACACAATCGCTGGCCCCGAGCTCAGGTGCAGCCAACTCTGACCGAGGGGGGGAGGGGCGCAGGTGCACGTCGCTCCTAGGCTCTGAAATGCAGCCGGCTCTAGAGTGCGGCACAACAATGGCTGGGAGGGAGCAGCTCCGGTCACGTGGAGAGCAGGTGGGGGCGGGGGCAGGGACCCCGGGGAGGGAATGCAGCCACAGGGGAGGGTGCTGGAGTGGGCTGGGATGCAGCCACCTGAGCGGCTGGCGGGGGCTGGGATGCAGCCACCTCTGGTGGGGGAGCGATACCGGCCCCGGCTGCAACGCACCCTAGAGGTGTTGGAGCTGGGGGCGGGAGAAAGGTTCCCACGATGTCCCCCGCTGACGTCATTAATCCCCTTTACAGTGTATTAGCCGGTCACGGGGGAGAATGGGTTTAATCCGCGACAGTGGCGCCGTGAATGGGTCGGTTTGTTCCTCCGCCAGCGGCGTCGCTTGGCAGCGGCCCGGGAAGGAAGAGGGGGCAGCCGGGGCCATGGGGCCCGCTCCCGGGGCAAGGGAAGGAAATTCTCGCCCGCCCGCACCGCACTGCTCTCCCGGAGGAAACACGAAACTCAATGTCGCCGCCTCCACTGCTCCCGCCCTCCCGCCTCCGGATTGGCGGAGCCGGCCCCCCTTCCCTGCGGTTTGCAGCCGTGAGGGGCGAGCGAGGAGCCATTAACCCTTCCGTGGTCGTTACGTGGGGGAAGAGCCGGTCCCTCTTAAAGATGCAGACATCTTTTTTGAGCCTCCCCCCTGAGCTCCATCCATGCCTTCCTGCATGGGAGGCGCCGGGCGCGTTGATTGGCTGCAGCCCCCCGACCAAAGCAATTCGTTTGCTTCTTGCATCTGGGGAAACTGAGGCAGGGAGCGCTACCTGCGCTCTTGGGAGCAGGATTAGGGAGTTAGGACCCAGGTATCTGGGCCCCGTCTGCCACCCCTTTATCCAATCACTGCCCACCCCCCCGCCCCTTCCCAGGCATCCAGGCTCCAGGACCGCCCCTAGAACCCAGGGCGCAGCAGCCGCGGGGGTCAGGTGTTACGCGTGTCCGCATTTAACCCGGGGTCCTGGAGGGGGCAGTTAGCGAGTTACCCCGGATTAACCCGCCCGGGATTAAACCAGCCCCCTCCCCTGGGGTGGGCACACAGCACTGTGGTACCAGGGGGAAACTGAGGCAGCCTGGCAGCGTGCCTCTCTAGGGTCTATTTCATTTGATCAGTGTTGAGGGCCCAGACACATGCACTTAGCTCAGGATAACCCCACCTCGCCCGGCCTCCAGCGCCAGGGCCCCCCAGAACCAGGGCGGGGTCTGGGGGGGATCTCAGAGGCATCTCCCACCCCATACTCTTCCCTAGAAGAGATCAGACCAAGAAGGCTTCAAGGGGGTAGGGAAGTGCCTCGGACACCTGGGTTCTCTCTAGGCAAGAGCTGCTAGACGTGGGAGCCCGAACACCTCGGTTCTTTCCCTGCTCTTGGAGGGGAGTGGAGCCCAGCTGAAGGGTGCCGGATGCCAAGCCAGGACTCCTGGGGTCCCAACCGCTCGGCTTACCCCCGCGCGGGGCCATTCACCCGCCAAGAGCTTGAAGAGCAGGGGAGGGGGCGACTTTCAGGTCGTCGCATTTAGCCAGGGAGGAGCGCAGGGGAGGGCAGGCCGCAGCGGTGCGGGGGACCAGGACACCCGGGTTTTTTCCAGCCTGGGAGAGGAGCGGGGTTAGAGCGGGTGGGAAGGGGCTGGGAGCCAGGACGCCCAGGTTTCCTGAGAAGGGCTGGAACATGGCGGGGGAGGCCGGGCGCCTGGGTTCCCCCTGCTTCAGTTGCCCGGACGCCGGGCTTCTCCGCTTGACTGAACGCACCTGCTCTCAGGTGAGCCCCTCCCTCGGGGCCTTGGCAGCCAGGTGTGCGCCCCGCCCAGGTGCAGGGGGGCGGTACCTGTCGGTCTCAGGTGTAGGGGGCGGGGCCGCGGGTCACGTGAGCAGGAGGAAGGGCGGGGCCGGACCGACGGAGCTCGGGGCGGACGACCGACGAACGCGGCGGTGAGTGAGTGTGGGGAGGGGGTACGCGTGGGGGCGGGGCGTAGTTGTCGCCTCCTATCCGCCAGGTAACCCTTGCCCCGGGG